TACGAGGATCCAGTTCCCACTCGTGAGAAGTGAAGATGTGTCTGCTGAGAAGATCCGCGTGCACGTTGTCTGTGCCAGCCAGATGAACGGCCATCAGAGTAATGTGTCTCTGAATGCACCAGTCCCAAATTCTCATAGAAAGCCTGGCTAAGGTCGGTGACTTCGTCCCTCCTTGCTTGTTCAGATAAAAAACGGTCGCTATATTGTCCGAAGTTATCTGAACGATCCGATGATGAAGGAGGTCTTTGAAAGAACGAAGGGCCTTGAAGACTGCCAGCAGCTCTAGGAAGTTGATATGATTCGTGGATTCTAGACGAGTCCACGTTCCCTGGGTAGACAGGCCAGAGCATATCGCCCCCCATCCTATGAGAGACGCGTCGGTACCGAGAGTTATCGAAGGAGGTTGCGCCCTGAAGGGGACTCCCATCACGAAATTGGTCGGTTTCAGCCACCAGCACAGGGAATGGAGCACGGAAGACGGAATCCGAATCCGTTTCGACTGTGGGTCCCTTTGTGGATGATACACCTTGTTGAAGAATAGTTGTAGTGGGCAAAGCCGAAGTCTGGCATGTGGAACTACGGCAACTGAGGAGGCCATATACCCCAGGACCCTCTGGATGGATCTCGCCGTAACCGTTCTCTCTTGTCGGATTCGATAGATATGGCGAGCGAGAGTCTGCTGTCTGTCCTGAGGGAGGAAGGCTTTCTCCAATGTTGAATCCAAGCGGGCTCCAATGAAGGTGAGCGTCTGTGTCGGAAGAAGAGAAGATTTCTCTGTATTAATTCGTAGGGTTGTATGGATGGTGTCTAGGAGTCCTTCTCTGGATTGCGAGACCAACAGCCAGTCATCGAGGTATGGGTAAATTTGTATGCCCTGAAGGCATAGGAAGGCACAGACAGGAGTCATGCATTTGGTAAAAACTCTCAGAGCTGTAGCCAGTCCAAAGGGTAGAACTGTGAACTCATTAAGTTGGTTTGCAACAGCAAAACGGAGGAAACGCCTGTAAGTTGGATGAATTGAAATATGAAAGTAGGTGTCCTTCAGGTCCAGTGAGGCGAACCAATCCCCTCTCCTTAACAACGGCAAAATATTTTGAAGGGTGGTCATACGAAACTTTCTCGGTACAATAAACTTATTCAAGTCCCGTAAATCCAAAATCGGACGTAGACCACCATCCCGCCTGGGGACCGTAAAGTATCTGGAATAGAATCCGTGAAGTCAATCAGATGGAAATACTTGACGAATCGCTCCTTTAAGGAGAAGTTGATGTATTTCGTCGAGAAGTACCGGCGAACATGAAGTAGACCGGATCGGACTCGATGGAGGAACGATGTCGAATTCTATTCGATAGCCGTGTTGAACGATGGATAATACCCACCGGTCAGATGTGATAGACTCACAAATGGGGAGTCGGCTTCGGAGCCGATCCCCAGATGAGAGGGGAGTGGGTATTAGAGGAGCATGAGGAGTGGTTCGCCAGTCCCGTCAGCGCTGCCTCCAATTGTTGAAACGACGGCGGCCCTGTTGGAAGCGCTGTTGCGGCTGAGGGCGGCGGCGCTGTTGATGCTGTTGTTGCTGGCGGTGTTGCGGCAGCCGTCTCTGCTGGTAGGACTACCTGTAGGACGGCCGATTCCAGGACCACTTATGTCTGTTGTATGACTGGATCTCCATCCTGCATGCCTTCATTCTTGACTCATGTAGTTTCTTGAGTTTGTGGTCGGTACATGAATGGAAGAGCCCGGAACCATCAAAAGGCATCTCTTCTATTCGCCGCTTGGTTTCCTCCGGGAAATTACAATTCCGGAGCCATGCGTGTCTCCGGAGGGAAACGGCACCGACCAAGGCCCGGGAGTCAGTGTCCACGTGGTGACGTGCCGTGGACAACTGCTGCACCACGACCTGCATGGCTTCTTTGATTAGGACCTTCGCAAGGCCACCCTGGTGGTCTGGGAGGGTGGAGGTGACGTTGTGGAGGCGCTGCATAATAAAATATTGATATCGCGCCAACGTCGCCTCGTAATTGGATATGCGAAGTCCTAAGCCCGAGGCAGCATAGACTCGCCTGGCCAGGGAATCTATTTTCCGGCCCTCCTTATCCCTCAGCGCCATATGTCCTCTCGCCTCTCTGTCTTGCGAGGATTCAACAACCGCCGAGTTTGGTTTCAGGTGCTTTAACAGGAAGGGGATGTCTTCTTCCCGGACCCTGTACATAGACTCATACCTCCTGGACATCGGCTGAAGATGTGAAGGTAGGTCCCAGGGCTGTGTCATCGCCTGCCTCAGGGTGGTTATAAGTGGCAGAACAATGGAGGTCGATTGCTCCCCATGGACGACGTCGTAAAACTTGTCCGTCGACGGTCCCGGGCGCTGGGCAGTGTCGATGTCCAGGGACTAGACAAGCCTCGACATCAGCTCCGCGAAGGAGACATGGGACTCATCGGGTGACGCAGGATCCTGGGATGTCACCACGACGTCCGGGGAGGTTGAGTCTACTTCAGAGTCATCCGAATCAGCACCGTAGTATGGTGGGGCAGAAGATGATGACTCCGCCAGTGAGAAGGAGCGGCTGCTTCCGCTTTGCGGGGATCGAGGTGGCACCCTCCTCGGATCCACTGACCGCGGTTGGTCGCAGGGCGGAGGTGAGGATTGCACCCTGGGAGCAGGGTAGTACACCACAGAAAGCGGGTCTCCCCAAGGTTGGTAGTAGGGACGACGCCAACTCTCCGGGCGTTGCTCTACCGAGCGGCTCCTCCGATTCCCTGGTGGGGACAGACCAGCTTCTGTCTCCAACATCACCGCAGGCATCGGTGTCGGTGACCTCACCCTAGGAGGGGAGTCCTGGATTTCCCCATCCGAAATAGACCCCCGTAGAGTTGGAAGGGGTGCAGGCGGGAGGTCGACCGCACGTCGGGGAGACCCTTGAGGGGTAACCCACATGGCCTCCTGAAGGATTGGTTCGGGCGGGGTTGGTATTGTAACCGCCACCGGTACTGAGGGTCCCATTGGCTCCGAGTCCCAATGTTGGGGACGGTCCGTGGACTTCGCCTTCTTTGGAGGCTTAGAGGCCTTCTCCTTTCTGGCCTTCTTATGGCCTGCCGGCTTCTCTTCGGCATGCTTCCGCTTCTCATGCCTCTTTTTTGGTGAAGCAGAGGGGGCCACTGAAGCAGACGCACCTTCATCCGAAGGGTGTGAGGATGGAGCCACAGAAGTGGAGCCAGGTTTTGGGATGGAGACGAGCGGGTCTGATTGCATCAGAGCCCTATCCCAAAGGAGCCTCCGAAGCCGGTTCTCGCGGTTCTTCCTAGCCTGCTTTGCGAAGGCTAGGCAATGAACATACTTATCCGTCCTATGCCCCTCTCCAAGGCAGAGGAGGCATAGGCCGTGCGGGTCAGTAGGTGCCATTTTTGACCCGCAATCCGCACATTTGCGGAAAGCCGCTCGCTGCGCCATTGCAGAAGAAAAGAAGAAGAAGAAGAGAGATAGTGCAGAGGGTAAGTATATATTTTTGTTTTTTTGATAGATCGAAGAAAGAAATAACAAGAGAAAAACTACACAGAAGCGGGAACAAAGAAAGGGGAAAGCAGTATAAGGGCAATATATAAGGAGAGAACCAAGAATAGCCAAAGCGAAAGCCGAAAGCAGCACGAGGCACAGTGAACGGCGGTCGCAAAGACTGAACAAAATGGCGGGCGCTCCGCTCTTTATAGGCCACAAGGGGGAGGGGAAGCGGAGCTTCCTGCCAAAAACCGTTAGCTATCAATCTTCCAGCCAAAGGCACTGTGCAGGCGCAGTACCCATATGTGTGATGCACAGAGGCCACGACGAAGAATAACTTTTACCTCTGCTCATAGAACTTTCTGTCCATGGAAGCCTCTGCTGGATTACAGATTTTCTGCCTTTCTTACTGCACAACTCTACTGCTAAACTGAGTGGCTGATGTGTCTTAGAAACACAAATATTTTTATTAGGCATTACATCTTAATCTTAACCCTTCTCCCTGCTGGGCTTCATACCAAATATTTCGGAGCCCAAGGCAGAGAGCAGAGCAGCCAGCTGGAACTGTGAATGCTTCCACACCTCCACCACAGCAGCTCAGTTTACATGCCTTCTTCATGGGTTTACCACTGCAAGGCCACATCATCATAGTTGTGTACTCCATCACATCAGTAACATAGAAAAGAGCCCAGCATGTGAGAGTGACCATGACAAGAATGGATGTTTAACTGGCAAAATTGCATGATAGCCAGTGGCTCACTAGGAAATCTTTAAAATGGTACCTACTTTTGAAATAGCATGCAATTTGACCCAAGGACATGGCATTTCTGACCCTTGCAAAGTAAAAATCCACCAGTTTCCAAAATATTACAAAAGGCAGTCATCAAATAAAAGTGAAACATTACCAACAAAATTGTAAAGTTTTCCAACACGCTGTTCATCATATATTTCTCTGGTAAATGCTTGAGCTTGTGGATGAAATTGATCATATATTCACACATTGGAGAGCGGTTTATTCTAAACACAAACCGGCCATTCTCAAACCGTGCATATTCAGTCTGAAAAAGATAAAAGAAAGCAAAGATGAAGCTCAAGTTTAACAATCAAACTGGGTCCCCCAAGAAATTCAAAGCTCTGTTTCTGTTTTTAAAAGGAACCATGGAATATTTTCATAAAAACATAGCATTTAGGATACATAGTTAAAGTAGTTAAGAGAAACCCTACAGGCCATGAGAGAGCAGTCCAGGGACCACCGAACTGTACAGAACCCCTTCTGCTATGACCTTGGAAAGAGATTGTGAGTTCTGACCCCCCATGCTTCACAGACACCACAGAAAGAACTGCGCCAGCTGTTCCTGATGCGGCAAACATGGTCTCAGGAAGAAGGAAAAAGATGCATTCTGGTATGCAGGGAGGGGAGTGGACAGGAAATGAAAAATCCTACAGCCTCTCCAACCCTGGTTCAGTCCCCTTCAGCATGCTCCATCTAGACAAAAGTAAAAGATGATACCAGAAAATTCTTCTGCATTCGAACAGCAGCAGAAGAGACTGTTTTCTCCCAAAATGTGCAAGCTCCCATACAGAATATCAGAGCTGTCACAGAGACCACTTGATTCAAGATTCAAGAATTTGCATGTGGTTCATGGAAGAATCTGTTTTCCCTCCTCCGCGTAGATAAGAGAATCAAGACCAATTATTGTGGTTGTGCCACCATTGCCAAAAGAACAGCATCACACGTGTCTAGAGCAGATGCATATAACAAGATTCTGTAGTACAAAACTGCATGTTCATCAACTCAAATAAAAGAAAAATGAGGAAGCATGCACTTTAAAGAAAACAGCGAGATTACAACAATAATCCAAGTATCAGTTTCTAAATCCTACCTCTACTTTTTCTACCACTTGCTTTCCAAATGAGCAAACTTTGGTGGAACAGGTGATTGTCATGTTTTCTGAGCTCTCATACTGACTAGTCACACCATAGAATGCTCCTGTATCATCTTGGATGTTGCAATTTAAGTCCGCCTAAGGGAAAAAATAACAGATTATTCTCAACTGCTACATCACTGAGAGAAATAATTAACTATTAGCATACTACCATTATAAGTGCCACACTTAAAATATAAATTGACACCATTGTCCATTTATTGGCCCATATTACAAACAAACTTGTAGCACAAAAGAAATTGAATTGATTCCTTTATTGATTCCCACTGAAGGAGCAAAAGAATTGCCAGGGGATTTGGCACTGTAAATTTGCAAGACAGGGTTGGGATGCAGACAGCACACCTGCAAACGTAGGCGTATTTCAAAGGGATGCCCTGAACAGTTCATATTGCCAAAGAGAACAGCTGCACTATTTCTCCAAGGCTTGGGTTCTTAGCTTCCAAATCATAAGAGCTTTTGACAACCCATTTTCTAACTAAAGCAATTAAAAATAACAAGATATCACAGGTCAGTGGAAAAGTAAGCACTTCTCTTTCCCCACCTGGAATCAGGTTGATAGGGACCAAGTAACAGTGATCTGGAAAAATAAATCATCCCTTTAACTTGAAAGGATTAGGGACATGTATTGTCCAGCTCCCTGCATTGGCCAGGAATAAAATTTTCAGATGAATGACGAATGCTCCCCTAGTCTACATATGAATGGTTTCTTTGCATACTGAGGATGAAAAGGCAGATACACAATTTCCCCTGTGTAATACATTCACAGAGGCAATATATAATATTATTTTTAAAAACTTCTTTGGCCATAGTCCATCAAAGCACCTTTATGGCATCAATTTATTTCATATTTGGCTATTTCTTCTACCTTCAACTTTCCATAGCATGATTGTCATCTCCATGAAGTCTTGCCTTCTTATAATGTACTCAATGCATGTTGGCTTAAGTTTTGTCATTTCTGCTTCCAGGGAAAGTTATGGCTTGATATGCTTTCTGTAATTTCAGGGTATTCACAAAGCTCTCCTCCAGCACCATGTTTCAAATACATCAATTTTCTTCCTGGCAGCTTTCTTTACTGTCCACTCTTCACATCCTTACATAGTGATCAATGTGGTTGATGGTGGCCTTGATCTCCCATGAAATGTTCTTACACTTGATGACGTTTTCTACATTTTTCATTGTTGTCCTTCTTCACTCTTCCTCTGATTTCTTAGCTGCAGTCTCCCTTTGAATTGAAGACCGAACCATAGTATGTAAAATCTCACAATTTCAATGTCTTCATTATTAACAGTAAAGTAACATATTTCTTCTGTGTATTTCTTAAATACTGTCCTGCCTGTGCACTTTCTTCTTTCATTTCCATCAGGAGTTGTTTTAACTCATTGTTGCATTCTGTCACAAGATGGTATCATCTGTATATCTTAAATTGATGATGTATCATCCACAAATGCTCTCTCCTTCCTCTGATCCTAAGCCAGCTTTCCTTAAGATGGGCTCTGTGTACAGATAGAACAGATAGGGAGGTAAAATGTAGCCTTGTCTGATGCCTTTGCTTATGTGAAGTCATTCTGTTTCTTGATATTCTGTCCTAATAGAAGCTTCTTATCCATGATGCAGGTTACACATCAGGACAATCCAGTGCAGAGGCACACCCATTTCTTTCATGGTCGTCCATAGTTTCTTATGATCCATACAGTCAGAGGCTTTGCTGCAGACCATAAATCACAGATTCTTCTTCTTCTGAAATTCTATAGTGTGCTCCAGTGGCCAACGTGTATTTGCAAGATGATCTCAAGTGCCTCTTCCTTTTTGGAATGTGGCTTGAATGTCAAGCATTTCTCATTCCATACCAGGTGAAATTCTTTGTTGCAAAACCTTGAGCATCACTTTGCTGCCATGGGAAATTAGTGCAATTGTCCTTTAATTGCTGCATTCCTTAGCATCTTCTTTCTTGAGGATTACAATATATATTGAAGGTTTCAGTCTGTGGCCCTTATTTTGTTTTCTGTATTTGTTTACATATTCTCGGTAGGATTTAGGCTGATTCAATATCTGCAGCTTAGAATAGTTCTTTTGGTACGCTTTCTACTCTGGGTGCTTTATTTCTTCAAGGTGCTTTCAGAAATGCTTGCACTTCACTCTATAACACTGTAAACTCTTCCACATAGGATTCCTCTTCAAAGGAGTCTGTCGTCCTTTCATCTCTTCTGTACAGTTCTTCTGTACATTGGTTCCACCTTCTGTTTATTTCATCTTGGCCAGATAGTATTTTCCCTGTTGGTCTTTCAGCATACCTAATCTAGGTCAGAATTTCCCTTTTACACTGTATCACAGAATGAGTACACCCCTCCCATTTTGTAAATATTTTATTATATCTTTTCAT